ACCGGGATATATTTACTGACCGGGATAAAAAGTAGCTCATATCTTTCTTAATTCTAAATTATACGTGTATACCAAATTTCATAGAGATTAGTTAAGTCATTACGGCGCTCTAATGTAAAATGTAAACAAACTCCCTTTCACATTTATAATATTAGTAAGGATGTTTCAATATATGTAGGCTAAATAACTAAGATATAGGAAAAATAAAAATAGCGGTTTAAAAAAAAATGGAATGTACATTTAATATTATATATTTTTTTAATTGACTGTGTGACTGTTGAAGTAAAAGTCAGCCTGCTCTAAATATCGGACGAGGTGATCTCCCAAGCATACCATTGACAAGATATTAATTCAAAACCAGCAAGAAACGGGTGAAGGTCACAATGTTTTTTAAGCCAAATATTCGTAAACTATACCTATAATTTGTGCTTCTGTAACCAGCAGGTATGACTTTAAAAATAAATTAAAATTAATTTCTGTTCTAATTAATATTTATAATTAAGTTTACTATATATTATAATCTATAGTAATAATATGAGTTAATTATAAGCATTTCTGAATAGTTATCCTTTTTATAAATTTATTGACCAGTTCGATTCAAACGGCTGACGGCCCACCTGATGGAAAGTGGTAACCGTCGCCTATAGACATAAGCAGTACCATGGACATAACAGAGTATACTGTTTCGCTCATGATACCCCCCATACGTTGCCATTCCTGAGGACTTAGGTGTTATTCCTCTGTACCTAGTAAATTCACGCCATATCCCACCCTTCAAACCGAAACACAGCCATGCAAACACAACTGCTTCACGGTTGAAACACGAATGGGACAGAGGTACCCAAGCAATCGACGTTTGTACAGTCTCCCTCTGGTAAATTACTTATTATGTATAAATGTAAAAATGCTGAGAGGTAAAAAATTTACTAGTAATTCCCTTCAAATTACAAGTGTTCATGGACGATAATAACCAGTTTTGCCAAAGAGACTTTGTATAGGTAAATTTACATGCATGGGTATCTCTGTCCCACTCGTATTCCTGTTGTGAAGTAGTCATGTTAACATGATTTAATATATTTATTAGTTTAAATAATTATGTTTGGCTATGTTATGAGTTAAAGAATGGTCCCACCATTGTCCTTAGGAATGACAAAGCATGAGGAGTACCATGGGCATTATGTTGTCTATAATGCCAACGGTCCTATTCATGTCTGTAGGCGACGGTTACCACTTTTTATTAGTCTGTTAGCTTGTATGCCATTATAAGTATAATAAAAATATCTTTCTTTAGGTGGACTGTCGACCGAATAAAAAAATATTTTATGGTTTATTTTCTTTGTTTTCAATAGACTCCAAAAAGAATGAGATTTTCAGTTCAGTTGTATTTTCTTATGTATGTTACTTTGAAATTCCGTCAAATATAAATCAATTTGAAAACTTTTTTATCTGAAGGTATATATTTACAGATTGATCTCGTAAAAATTTTAATAAAACTAGTTCAGTAGTTCAGTTTTTAAATAAAAATAGCTGGTTTTGTCACAATTGAAGTCAGTTTTTTTGTGGAATACAATTTTAAATGATTTAATTCCAGATAGACTAGTTATATATATAAAAAAAAGACTTACACGTGCATCCATTTATGGACTGGTTGTTAACAGGTTTCACGAGTTTGCGCTTAGACTTTATATTGTTCGTTATCCAGGCTGGACTGAGAAGTAAATGATGATCGATATATATAAAAACGTAATATCGAACAAGTACTACGTTTGAAGTGAATTTTAAAATATTATTTATTTATTTAATTTTTTATAATTTTGTTTACACTTAAAAATGTATTTTACATTTTAATTATAATTACAAATTAGTAATTAATAATTAGTTTTACTCTGATTCCATTCGAGTACATCATCGGCGATGCACAAAGTATTTAGCATCGGCTGGATGTCACAAGTCTTTAAAAGGCCTAAAAAGTCCTTAAAAAAGCAATCATTCACTCTACTAATCACTTATCATTAGGTGAACCGTATACTCGTTTGTTGCTTTTTTATATAATAAATAAATAAATGGCTTTGAAAAAAATCATATCATAAAAGCGCTTATTTTATATTACGTTTTAAGTCGCGGCTCGTAAGTGTAGTGGATCGATGCTTTCGGTTCATTGAACCTTACCGCCTTGAACTTACGTGTACGGATGTATGTCTTGAAAGAAGAAAACTTAATTGACTATATTGGCATTCTTGCGAAGTTCAGACATAATTCAACAGTTGTTAACGTACAAATTGGTTATTAAATATCCATTATGGGGGAATATCCTGTAGATACGCATTAATGCGCCATTGAGTAAGACGATATACTTCCCATTATGTTATGTTTGATGGCTGATCACCATTAAATTTGGAACACAACTACAGCATTTTTTATATTGTACTTAGAATGGCTATTAAGCTGACGGCTCACCTGATGGAAAGTGGTAACTGTAATCTCTAGATATTAATATAATAATAATAATTAGTTTATTCATCTCCACAAATTACAATGTATAGATTATTTACTTTATACAAAATAAAAGTATCGTAATTTGTGGGAGATCTGGAGCCTAAACTAAGTCGTAACTTGTATCTTAGACACCAGAATAGCCGGGACATTGTAGAATACACTGTGATGTCTGTAGTACCACCAAAAACACGGATGGGACAAAGATACCCATGCTGACAACTTTTGTACAAAGTCTTCCTGTGAAAAGAAAATAAATTTGTAATTACTAAAGGCCGTGTGTTTAAGATCTACTTAGTTATTGATAGATCAACTAAAAAAAAATGGTTCTACTTTTTGTATTGGATATAATTTTTTTTTTACGAAGTTAAATCGTAAATTATAAAATAATTTCAAAGAATTTCTATTCAATATTTACCTTGTTTAATTACTTATTATCTTTAATAACATCAATTGTTTACGCATTGAGAGTGCCGCGATAATCGACCAATATTTTATAATGTTTATACCAATTATCAATTTCGCAATAAAAACAGGTATTATCTGGTAAATTAGATAAGTGCAATTGTTTATTTATTTTATATTAGTCGTTCTTCATTAGCTATCATATCAAATAATATAAGGCATGAGTTAAATACTATAAAATATTTTTAAAAAACTTTCAGAATGATTTTTCCAAAAATTATTAAATAATAATTTTTCTATATATTTCTTATATATAGGTATTGTATAAAAATGTATATAAGTGTATATCTGTATAGTTCTAGTTTTGTACATATATAGTATTTTTTATTTTATGAAAAAAAAAATTATTGTGAAAATCCATAGATTAAGAATAACAAATACATAGATACATATATATATATATATATATATATATATATATATATATATATATATATATATATATATATATATATATATATATATATATATATATATATATATATATATATATATATATATATATATATATATATATATATATATATATATATATATATATATATATATATATATATATAACACAGGGGGCAAACGAGCATGCGGCTCACCTGATGGTAAGTGACTACCGCCGCCCATGATCACCCACAACACCAGCGGCATTGCAGGTGTGCTGCCGGCCTTTTAAAAAGGAATATACTCTTTTCTTGAAGGTTATGTTGTCGTATCGGTTCGGAAATACTGCTGCTGGAAGTTGATTCCAAAGAATGGTTGTGCGTGGAAGAAAGTGCCTTGAAAAACGCACGGTGGAAAACCGCCACTCGTCCAGATGATTGGGATGAAACTTTAGTTTGTGGCGGGTTGTACGGTGGTGAAAATCAGCAGCAGGTATCAATCCGAACAATTCCTCAGAACACTCCCCATGATAAATTCGGTAGAAGATGCACAGAGATGCAACATCTCTGCGCAGTTTCAGTGGGTCGAGTCGGATAGTAAGGCGTTGACTATCGATAATTCGAGCCGCCCGACTTTGAATGCGGTCTAACGGAAGGAGTTGGTACTGTGGCGCTCCTGCCCACAGGTGAGAACAGTATTCCATATGCGGCCTGACTTGGGCTTTATATAATTTCAGGCGGTGTTCTGGCATGAAATATCGTCTCACCCTATTGAGCACTCCTAACTTTTTGGAAGCTATCTTAGCCTTCTCCTTCAGATGACCGCAAAACTGGACGTCGCAAGATATATCAACGCCCAGAATTCCTAGACTCGACTTTTTATCAAGGGAAGTGCCCTGAAAGTGAGGAGATACGACAAACGGCGTCTTTTTTGCGGTAAACGCGCAGACTTGTGTCTTTTTGGGGTTAAATTGGACAAGATTTTGTTCACCCCAGATCGAAACTTGATGGAGTGAAGTTTCGATTTCAGACACAAGTCTATTCCGGCACTCATCGGTATGTACCCGCGAGATCTTTGCACGACCGGTATATAATGTATATCCTGTACTGTACACATATATATATATATATATATATATATATATATATATATATATATATATATATATATATATATATATATATATGTGTGTGTGTGTGTGTGTGTGTGTGTGTAGATATGTGTATATATGTGTATGTGTATGCATATGTATTTATGTGTGTAAGTTTTTGTTTATTTATGTATTAATGTTATATTATTATTCATGTACTTTTATTATTTACATATGTAAGGTGTATAGAGCTGTTTTTATTGTATTATATATTAAATTTTTTACTGGGTATTATTTAGTTTATCTTTAATTGTACGGTTATTATCCTTATGCATTCTACAACTTTCTTTCAGCTACTCAAAGGTTGACTGTAAGAGATTCCTTTATGGGATAAGTTTGCCATTGTGTATTAAATCATTTATCAGTGTTCAATATGAATTATGTACAATAAAGATTTTACAATACAATACAATTTTTCTAAGTTTCACAGGAGGCAATGTCTATTATTGAACAATACAGTATTTATAACGTTATTATAAATAAATAAAAAAAATAATATATTTTATTTTTGTTACAGACAAATCTTGCCAAAATGGATTTGGAGTTCCGCAACTTAAAGTATACTATAAAAAGTCTCATAACAAAAGGTAAGATAATTTAATTTAATTAATAAATCGCAGTAATCTAATTAAACCTTATTTATAGCGACAGTAATTGTATAAAAACAACGCAATTTTTTATTATCGTCACGATAAAATCGTATCGTGGCGTCTTGTACGATAAGTAATTAACAGATTAATCTCAGCGATATAGTCGCTATTATAACAACGCTAGACTCGGTAGTGTCGAGCTATATAAGAGCAATTGTACGTTGAAATATCTATTAGTCAGGACAAGTTTATACAAAAATTTGCATTTCTATTTGGCATGTTAACTGACATTGTGTTCATTGATATGTATTGCGGAAAAATGTAGTAAAACATATACTAACGCAATACACGCATTGTTTTGTAGTGGCTCTTTGTCTATTTTGAAGCTATTACAAAATTGTATACTTACAGCAAGCACTTTGGTAAATTGAGACCATTTCAAGCTATTACAGAGCTCGGCTGTTATGAAATATTTTTATGCTTTTCATAAACAGAGACTAATTAGTTTAATTTGCTGTATTTAAACAAATTTACCTGGTGGTATTCGTCTGATGACGGAGTAACAATATGACGTCTCATCATTCTCATTGCTTTTTCTCATTTCAAGAATGTTGAAAGGTGACTGGTAGAATATAATGCTATAGTGCAAGAGAAGGAAATAAGGAATAAAACCTTGTACTAGGTCGTTAAGCGGAATAATAATAGTGAGCATGCAGGATACTTATGGGGAAATACTTTATTATTCCATATTTAATTAGTTGTTTTAGTAATAGTGGCTAATATAGATTTCTAGCTGTTGACGTGTAGTAAAGCAGTTTACTCGTGTGGTGTCGTGTACCTTGAAATTGAATTTTTAAAAAAAAAATCTTAGCTGATGCTTACTTTATAAAATAAACCTAGATAAGTTTTCTCTGTATGTTGATAGTCAGTCAGGCTGAACGATTTTAAGAATATTTTAAGATTGTCTATGCTCGCGCTATTTCCTCTATATAGCTGAGATATTATAATTGAACAGTATAAAATATAGTTTTTTTTTTTTTTTTTTTATAGGTGATAATGAAATAGTAACCCCACCCGCGCTATCGGTATACACCGGCGGGGCACCAGTGAAGGATGATAGATGAGGATGAAACAGGTCAGTTAGCCCATCGTGACGAATTCAACGAGAATTGTTCACGATGGTTTCCAGGGGGAACCACGTGGAGGTCGACCTGATAGGGCATATTGCTAGCAATGGGGCTGTCAAACTCCATTGCTAACAATCCCTTCCCCCTATAAAATATAGTTATACAAGCTTTTAACCACGGCTTCGTCAGCGTATAGTACGTGTATACCAATTTTCATAGTAATTGGTTAAGCTGTTAAGGCGCTAACGGTTAACAAATAAACTCTCTTTCACATTTACAATATTATAAGAAAGTATTCTACGCACGATATCAAATTTCACGATGATTAGTTAAGCTATTAAGCTTTGAAGAGGCAACTAACAAGTAAACAAATTCAATTTCACGTTAATTTTAGTAAGGATAACGTGTACATTCATTAACCTAATAGTTAGCAAAGAAATGTTTACTACATTAAACGCTGTTGTTCATCACTTGAGGCCTCTGATAAATTTCCACTAGATAATTTATCTAATTTCTTTTATGTAATGTATTTTTTTATACCACTAAGGTGGCAAACAAGCATACCCGTCTGATGGTAAACGGTTACTTTAACCTACAAACATTTGCAATACTAAAATTGTCACGTGCGCGTTACCAGTCCTGAAAAAACCATAACACACTATTTTTGAAGAATCCCATATTATAGGGAAAACCTTGGCAGGGAACTTATTTCACAGCCTGATTGTTTGCGGAAGGAAATTCCTCTGGAACCACACTGTGCGCGACCATTTGAGTTCAAGCGTGTTAGGATGAATTCCCTATCGATGGCCAGCGGTACGATGATAAAAGGTGGCTGTTGGCTTCATTTCGAATAATTTCTCAGAACGCAATCTGTTATATAAGCGGTAAAACAAAAGTTATACAAACGGCAAATATAAAACAAAGTCGCTCTCCGTATGCCTGTTTTTTCGGTTACTTCTCCTAAATCACGGATCGGATTTTGTACCGAGTTTCACTGTCAGTTAGGTATTCTTTTATGCGATGGTTGTAGGTAAAATTTTGGGGCAGGTCATCAGACCCTCATCTTTATCATCATATCAGTCGTTAACTGTCCGCTATTGGACATAGGCTTTCCCCATAAGGGGGTTTTGCTAGTAGTTGTCACGCTTGGCTAGCGGGTTGGCAACCGCAGTTAGGGTTTTGGTGACGTTTTAAGTGGGACCTTGCTGCTCCTCCCTGTACCTTCGAATATTAAGTTTTCTTAGACACTTACGGAATAGGAAGAGATGGCCCATTCTATGCCGGGACTATACGGCATCATCATTAGATCTTTTAAAACTATTATTATAAATGTGAACGTGAGTTTGATACGTCTTAGCATTTAAACAGCTCAACTGTCGTGAAATTTGACATACATGTGGTATTTGGAATGGAAAAGCCTATATGGCTACTATTGATAGAAATTAGGGTATTAGATTAAACTAGTACTTCCAAACATTAACTTTTTATAAAATTTGTATGAATCTATATTTTTTATCGCATTTACCTACCTTCTTATTCATAAAAACGTCAAACCTGTTACAAACATATTTTAGCTATTAAATTGTTTCATCCCTTTCGTTTATAATTTCAAAGTAAGGGACAAAATAGTGTAATAGTTAAAGGATATTTGTAGAACGTTTTAATTGTAATAAATAAGGGAGTTATTATTTTAATGCTAAACTTTTATTCAAGTATAAATAAACAAACATTGTTTATTTTTTATTGATTCCGGTTAGTGAACATATCTCAAGTATGCGAAAAAAATCACGGGTAAAAGTTATAACTTGAGATTTTTGCGGTGACCATGACTTTTACAACAGGATCGAAAAATCGGCGTGTTTAAACAAATAAATATATTATAATTATTTTAGGGTTCTGTTAATTATGTATATCCCTTAAATTACTCACATTAGATTTCTAAGCACTACCTACCAGAGGGAGACTTTATACAAAAGTCGATTGCTTGGGTACCTCTGTCCCATTCGTGTTTCAACCTTAAAACAGTTGTGTTTGCATGACTGTGTTTCGGTTTGAAGGGATATGGCGTAAATTTACTGGGTATGGAAGAATAACACCTGAGTCTTCAGGAATGGCGACGCATGGGGGGTATCATGGGCGAAACAGTATATTCTGTTATATCTATGTTACTGCTCATGTCTATAGACGACGGTTACCACTTTCCATCAGGTGGGCCGTCAGCTTATTTGCCATTCTCAATTGTATAAAAAAAAACCTATTTAACCAAGTCTAAAACCGCAGTAGATGTTGCAAAGACCGTGCCATTGATAAAGAAATATTCTTAACAATAGAAAGAGATCTCAACTCCGACTCAAGGTAACCTACTTTCACTAGTAACAATAAGGGCCTATTCACACCGTAAAGCAATGTATAATCATAATGGTTTACTTGTGTATAAAATATGTAAATTTATGAAAACATTATGTTTCAATTACATGTATAGATGACGTAGTGTTTGTAAATCCTATTAACATTATAAATATGAAAGTTAGTTTAAAACTTTAATACGCCTAGAAAGTATAAATGACGGACTTAACGCCATATATACCTTCGATTAATAGATAACGCCCGGCGTTATCTATTAATCGACGGTAGATAGGAATAACATATATATAATATTTTATACTCGTATTAATCTATAGTTTTTTATTCTCTTAATCACTCTTTTCAAGGCACCCTAGGAATGAAAAGGAACTTGCATTCTTACTTCATCACTTCACAGATAAAAATTACGATTAAGTCCCTAACAGATATTCAAACATATAAATATTTGAACATTTTCACGAACTAGTATGATATGCAAGTGTGAGTAATGACTCATTGTGTTCAGAATTAGAATTGTGTTAGGTCTTTGTGTCGTCGAATTGGTTAAATATTATTTTGCGTATAAGTACTGTACAAATATGTTAAATATACGAATACATTAAAGACGTATTATTTACCGTTAAGAGGTCATTAGGTTTGTTGTTTTTAGATTTAGTATATAAGTAGTTACATATTTATTTTAAAACTACAGTCATACAAAATTAGTTAAAGCTATGGAAACAGAATACATATTACAAATTAAAATGGTAATTTTAGTTAAACAGCTATTCGTATCTAATTGAAATATCACGTGTTTGTTTTTATTTTTCCTATACATTGTAATGTATAACTACTACTACGTGTGTGGCGGTGTTTGAATAAAAATATAAATATAGCAAAATCCTGTTTATACTATCGATTTCTTATACATTTAGAAGGCCTTACGTAATTATTATTTAAAAACATAATCATCAAACTATCATATTTAAATAATTAATGTACAGTTGAAAAACAATTGAAAGCAATTCTTCTTCACTTTTCGTAGTGTCTTGGGTAAGCAATAATAATTTATATGTTGTTTTATATTTGAAAAAATGTAAATAATCAAATTGTATCATTTTATTCATTAATTTACGTGTGTTAAATGGCTCAAATAAAGTGTTTATCTATCTATCTATCTATCAATAAAATATAATAATAATAAATATAAAAAAAAAACATAAAAGGTAAATGCTAACGGGTAATGGTTAAATTGCAACGAGATGGAAACTCTCTTATTCTAATATCTTGAGCAAAATATAGTACTTCGGGCATCAATCTATAAGAGTGGTAATTGATATTTCAAGAGACGAGCTACTTTGTTATATTAATGTATTTACAATTACAATATATAAATATATTTACAATTTAACGTAATCCAAAATTTTTATTACACACAAAATACCCATTGCATTTATTACTTGCATATATTATGTATGTAGATAATTTAGTAATTGGGATATTTTGTATGTAGGTGCTATGTAAATA